GCATTTTTGTGTGTAATGCCACTCATTTCATAATTACACTGACAATAAAACTTTGTTCAATTCACTTCCGCCGCTGTGTATTATTGTAAAATTCTAAATATATGTATTTTTCTTTCAAGCTTTGATCTGATGACTATTTAACCGCTTACTTCAACAATTATGTCATTTTTATCAAATTTTTATCGTCATATTGTCTGCAATGTCTATTGATATAATTATTATAAGGGTTAGTTATGATTTTACGAGTTAATCACGGATTGATATCAGTTAGAGAACCATTGAGAACCACCACCGGAGTACTGGACAGCAGTTTCGTCAGCCTAGTTTGGGAATCATCGGCAGCACGCACCCACTGGGGTTCGAACCAAAGATTTTCCAGTTACAAGGCAAGCTCGCATACCATTCAGCCACTGGGACCCGATTCAATGCCCAACTCATGAATTCTAACTTCTACCAATTCGTGATTTAGCGTGACCACCAACCACTGTCGTTGGTGACATCCACCTCAAACGTGACATCTGGATGGATCTCACTGGTCACAACTTCTCACTAGAACTCCAGGAAACTCATTCCTGTAGCAAATCACTAGCGAGCATCAGATTAATTTTCTGTAGTTGGTTTGTAAGGGTGGGTACTGCACTGGGTGCGTACTGCCAATGATTCCTAAACCACGATGAAACAGCTGTCCAGTACTCCCAGCTGGTTTTCAATGCTTCTCTAACTGATATCAATCCGTGGTCAAACTCGTGAGAACACATCTAATCCTTACAAAGCACTTCTTGAAAATTAATCTGATGCTCACTAGTGATTTGCTACAGGACTGAGTTTCCTGGAGTTAGTTCTAGTGAGAAGTCGTGATCAGTGAGGTCCATCCAGATGTCACGTGTGAGGATGGATGTCCCACTGATAATTATTATAACTATAAATTGTTCCAGAATTCAGATTTATGTAAATGTCCTACTGATTAATGGCCTTGATCGGTGGATTTCTTATAGTTAAATGTAAGACTACAGATACATTGATCGATTCCTCTCCAATGACCAGTCAATATAAACATTACAGAAGTATATGAGGTGATTCTTGAAGTCAGATAGTCCCATGGTAACCTTTCGTGACCGCAGCTCTGGTTGAAATCAGTTAAAATCTCTAAAGGCGACATGAATTCCTTCAAGGTTGTATATACGCCTTGCTGACAAGTACTGGTGAGCACACTACCTAGGTTCTAGCCTCCCTGTTGATTAACCTAATAACAGTCTGATAGAGTAATAAAACTACATACAAGTTATGTATGACTATGACATCCAACCGTTGCCCCTAATGTGGCCATCATGAAAAAATTCAGTTCCACCAATAATGATTATCCTATTGCCTTTCTTATTCAACCTTCCTGTTTATATTTGTTATCTTTACTTTTTTTAAATTCCTGCCTCCAGTGTTAGATGTGGCTGCTATTTTTTAAATTTTTTTATGCCCGAATTTCCTACCTATTTTGTTAATATTGTGTCTTCAACCCGTAATTATACAAACTGCGAAGTCTTCCAGTAATTACCAACTTAATATGTCTTTTCTACCCGATATTCCCGATTATTACAATTTTTCTTATCCCTTTACCTTCCGAGTGGAACATAGGGCTTCAAGCTGTAGGCTTGAAGTTCCTGCAGTAGTGGTGATTATTTTTACAAGATGGGGTTGCTAGCCTCATACCCAACCTTCCCTCATTACCAGCCTTATTACTGGCTTAGCGAGGTAAGCGAGGAATGCGTCGGTCGGGGATCGAATCCCGGACCACCTGGGTGGTCGGCGAGCACTCAACCGCTGTGCCACCGACGCACGATTATAACACTTAGTAATTTTGATAACTTAACCTTTGACCAAAAATAATTCTGGAACTTTCTCACACATTTACTACAAATACACTAATGTACAGCTGTCTAGTTGATGACTTCGTAGGAAAGAAAATTTTCTTTGTTGCAACCATCTTTTTAATAATTCCTATGATGCAATGTGTATATTCTATGATTCGTCTTTTGTGTCTCTAGCAGAGTATAGGGATACAGAGCACATCTCCATTTTGTACTCTGTAATCTGCTTTAACCTACCTAGCCGCACGATAACCCATAAGCCTTCATTTCATCCTTAGTCGATCTTCTGCATACCACTTTTAGATCGACTTCTAATTCATTGTTTCCCATTAGTATTCCACTCTAATGGCTTGTTTTTACTTAAAATTAAAAAAACCCGCCTTTTTAAAAACAACAACTTTTAATTCATTTAAAGAACATTTATTTATAATATTCATTATTCATAAAAGCCAGTTTTTGTCAATGTTTTGTTTTTAAAAAAAAGAAGAGAAAAGTAAACTGTATTTGTTTACATGAATATTATATATATATGTATATATATATATCTTAGGTACTGTAATAACACAAATCGATTAAAAAGATATCGAAAAGGTTTGGTTTGAGTCATTGGGTAGAATAAAATAACACAAAGATCGATAGATAGAGAGAGAGAGATTGGTTTCTATCAGAATTCCTCCAAAATTACCCAAGAGTTTTATTGTTTGTGTTCGAATTATGTATATATATATATATATGTGAATAATAATGTATTATGTCTATCGTTTATAGTGCTAATTAAACAAAAAAAGAATGTAATACATAAGAAGAAGAAGAAGAAGCAGAGAAAAATAGAAAGTGGTGTTCAATCAATTTTTTGTTGTTGTTTAGTCAGATTAATACCGACTACCGCCAAATTCAAATTGGAGTCCAGTTTAAATCATAATTGAAAAGTTGTCGCCGTGTGTGTGTGTGTAGGTGTATGTATGAACCTCTGTTTACTCTAAGTGAGTCACAGTGTTAGTTAACGAATGTAGAAATTAGTAATATGAAATAAGAGGAGAAAAAATGGGCAAAAAAGTGGTGTTTCTAAGACTGACCTCCGTCTCCACACACACACATGCATGAGTGTGTGTGTGTAGATTTGTGCCGCATTAAAAGAACAAGTTTAACTTCCAATATAAAGTACTAATTTAAAGGACACACCCACGCACACACCCACGTAGAAGTCTGAATATAACTATTTGGAATTGAAACGATACTGGAATAAAGTATATATATGTGTTGAAAACATATACAGTACAACGTTGGTTGGTTAGCCGGCTGGCTCTTCCCCTCCCCCTTCTAGAAAATTCTAGATTTCTGTGGTTTTTATACTATTATTATTATTCCAACTATCAACTCACTTATTGAATGCTTTCATCTAAATAAATGTTTTACTAAAATTTAGAAACGTAAGATACAATGATTATTAAATAATAATAATGATACCAACGAAAAGAATAGTGTCAATAGTAATCATAATAATAATATAGTATCATAAGTAATATTATCATTTTTATTATTAACAATTCCAGTAAAAGTATGGAATACTAAACAAATTCTAAACTGATAAGAATCCACTTTTTTCAATATTGTGTTTGACATTGAACATATTCTCGTATAATCTGTATTGAATATATATTCAATATTTATTGGACAGATTATATAATTGAAAGGATTTCATTAAAACAATAAATTATTTTATCTTATAAATAGTTATCATCTTTTTCTTAAAATAAAGAATTTCAAAGAAATCAAAGAATTATTATATATTATTATTATTATTCGTAAATCCCGCTCAAATATACGCGCGGTTGTTGTTGTTGTTTAAATTGATGATATCATTGGGGGAGGTAAAAACAACGAAGTGGAAAGAAGAAATGCAAAAAAAGGTGTTGAGAATACATTTTTTCTTTTAAAGGAAAGATTGAAGGCAGGACGAAAGAAGAAAAAACAAAATGCGACACAGGAGTAAACAAAAACAAACCATGAATATTCGATCATGAAATAAAAGAGAGAGAGAGAGAGTAGATAAATATAAATAAATCAACGGGCTCCTAGAAATAAAACGAGAATACGAAATACTTCCACTCCCCACTCCCCCCCAAAAAATAACAAATACCACCAACAATGACAACAAATAAATAAAATGAAATGAAATGAAAACAATGTGAAAAAACATCACAACACAGGACCAGCCTGTTTAGATATTGGTTAATCCGATAAGTACAATAATAATTCTGCTGTATAATTTATTGTTACAAAAGAATTTTTTTTAAATACAGATATCATGAGGTCAAAGAAAAGAAAACTGGTTTAAGTTAGAAGTTTTGTTTGATGGAATGAGTAAATATATGTCAATTTTCTTTTTTTTTTACTAGATGAAACCATGTACTTCGAAATTGAATGTTTCAATGTTGTAAATATGGATACATATATATATTTGTTTGTTTAAACCAATTAAAACGAAGAAAACGCGGAAAAACATTACTAACTAACTAATCTTCAAGATATTTCTTCCTTTCCTTCTTCCCCCTCCATAAAACCTGTACTTTTCCTCGCTGTTTCTGAGTAACTTGTCAGTCAGTTTCTTTCAACTGTTCTCTTTCGTCCTTTTGCATAACGTTTTGCCTAATACTCATAACGTACATCAGAAAAAAAAGAAGGTATGTACACAGGTTTTGAAAAAGATACAGTCTCATCTCTTCCCTCAGAACAAAACGAACAAACACAAACATTCACGGTTTCATTGAAACATTGAAAATTAAAAAGCTTTGGATAGTTAGTATTTTTATATCAATATTAATAATAGTAATAATAATATTATTATTGATAATAATTATCATTATAAACATGTGTAGTAGTTGTACTCTTGAATTTTGGTTGTGTGTGTGTGTGTACGATAACCTAAAGTAAATCTGAAGATTGAAGAAGAAGAAGTAGGGAAACGAAGAAGAGGAAAATCAAGACTGGAGGTTTCTTTCTCTCACTCGTCGTTGGTGCTGTTGCTGTTGTTGACATCCTTGTAACTATGGAGCTTGAGGGATTCTGTTTTTATTGTATAGCATTCTAAAATTATGAAATAAAATGAACCTGTTGTGTGTTTGTGTTGTGCAGTTGTCAAGTTTGTGCATCTTTAGCTTCTTGTAGCATATCTTTATAAAGTTTTGAATTGATAAATCGTGGATATGAATCTCTATGCATTAATGTGTAAATTTGTAATTGAGCTTCATCGAATATATGCGGTGTTGGTTCAATCATATTGGCATTGATTATTTCACGTACACGTGAGTCTAAACTAACCTGTAGAAATAGAGTAAAAACAGGCAACATTTTTCTATTTATATTGATGAAAGGAATTTATGATGTTAAAAGCTTTTAATACTCATCATTATTATTATACATTCGATTTGTGGGAAAGTCTATACAAATGTGTGGCGGTTGTTATGTGTCTAGTCGTTTGCCTTAGTCGCCAGGTTGATTGGCCGCTGCTTTGCACTTTAGAAAATCATATTAGATGGTTTGGAGGTGACCAATATAAAGCCCTGTACCTAGGTTTCATGCTTGCTTCAGCTTGTCAGTGAGGCATACCAGTAACCTCGAAGGAACTAATGTCGCCTCTAAGGCTGTAACTCACGTCAAGCACTTCTCCAGTCAGAGATGTTACCGCCGAATTATTCGGGCTTAATAAATACATATATACAAAGAACGTCTAATATCAGAAGCACTTCATATCAAGTGGAATCCAAATTGCCTGAACTGAATAGGAATGCTAGACTAAAACAGAATCTGACCTGGTTACAACACCTCCCTCCCTAGCCATGAAGTGACAAAATCAACACGAATGTGATATGCAAGTTCACTATGTAAACACACGCTGCCTTTATAATTTTAAACACTGATCAAATCCAACAGTCTACGCACCTGGTTTTGTTATCTTTACCAATTGACCAACTTGACGACGAAAAATGACCCCAGACAGACGAACGATGACCAAGTTAGTAAACTTTGTTTTGATGCCATAACAGATGTACTATTACCCTTGTTATTTGGTTAAGTGATCTTCATTGTTATTTTGACTTTCAATTAGTACTTTTAACTTGACCTAAGTCTATTTTCTCACCCCCTAACTGTTTGTTATATATATGCTGAGATTTTGTAAATTCTGGTTTAATAATAATTTGATAAAGCTATTAGCATTAAATAGCGAAACGTCAGTAAAAATAACAATATCATTTTGTTTTTCATTCATAGGGAAATACAAAAACCTTTATTACAATGAATATCATATACCCAATACCCAAATTTTTTCAAACCGTTAAAAGTGAACTTGGTCTGGACATATATAAATCAATACACCAGTCTGTAAACCTGATGGTCCTAGGTTCGACCCCTTGGACCCTGCTTAAGATTCACAAACCAGAATGAAACATCTGTCCAGTGCTTCCGAGTTATCAATCCTTTTTTAATTGATATCGAATGGGTCAACGTACGTTTCACAGACAACGTAGTAGAGTTACTCAAAATATTGATAAAACAAACAGTCTCCTGAACTCTTTAGATGAAAGTCATAGTACATATTTGGGGGGCGTTCCGTATCTGATCAGTGTTACCTAACAGATCTCCATTGGCTCTTAGTTTAAGAACAACAAATGTAATGAACACATTAACAAAATTAGAAGGCTATATAAGTCCTATTGGGCTGGTTGGTAATGAAATTTCAGTAAGGATAACGACTGCTCATTCAACATTCACTAACTCATTTCATTCCCGAACTCAGTCGAGATATCACCATTTAATAAAATGACCAGTAAGTCCTTCTATAATCAGCTTTATTATATCACTAAAAGTGGAAGACGTGAGTGTAAAGGACCCAAGATTAACCAGAACAAGACACGTCATCAATCGACGGAGCTTTTGACTGTTTATGGGATTTATATCAGAAGGTGTAGACTTGTTTTGTATGGTTCAACAGTTGATGAAATTGAGAAAAAATTATTATAGTGTTAGAAATGTATTCCTTTTACAAAGGTCATAGTACTCACAGCTAAATCTGTGAATGTTTCATTGAACTTTAGATTGTGTTTGGAGGATATTCTGACATTAGTCTTGGTGGTACACTTTCACTCCTAATTCTTTGGTTTATCTTGTGTATGCGTTTGTCTACACAGAAGCTGTTTTTCCATTATTGTTATTATTTCCCCTGTGTCCTATTCTCTGTGGTTCTATTGATCTGGGCCTATGATTACCCATAATCTCGCATCTCCTCCTCACACGACCTCCTCTATGTAACCCTCGAACGTCTCACTCGTCGTTTCCCATCCGGGTTCCACTGGAGCTATGGCCTGGTGCTCTATATCAACCGACGGTCTCCTCAGCGCATTCCCAGACCATCTCCATTTTTGTTGAGCAGCAGGTTCTTGTTCGGTTCGTTCCGGGAGTTTCTTGTTGCTAATTATTTCTGGCTAGTAAGGGGCCAGTGAAGACATCTGGTGATAAAAGTCTGCAACCTGTTAGAAATGCTTTTCACTATGCGTTCGCCAAGTTTCTGACCTATATAGAAGAAGCAAATGACTTAACAGTGGTGTTTAAAATCCGAATTTTGTTGTACAGTAGATTTCCACTTTGAATTCACAGTGATGAAGGTGTTACCTTGACTTTCATATTCTGGTTTCAGAATCCTAATTAATGCTGTTGCCTCTAGTCGAAACGATGATGCCTAGTGGAGGAAGTGACATCTCTCAAATTTATTCCGTTAACACTGATTGGTGCTTGGTGCTGTTGTTGGTCGGTTGGTTATCTTCATCATCTATGTCTTCTCTATGTTCACTTGAGATCCTACCTTTGCTACTTCTCGAAGAGTTTGTTAGTCCTTGCCTGTTATTCTTCCACTTTGTGTGAGGTTCTTTTATTCAACATGATATATTCAATGTCGCACTACAAAGCGCTTTAAAAAAATATTGAGCTATGAGCTCATCGCAGTCAACTCCGGAAGCTGAAACATTCAGATTACAATAATATATCATCTACTTTTTACCATAAATGGTGATTAAGAAAGCAAGTTTATATTGCACAGTGTTATACACTACTAAGTGTCTGATATAAGTAGTAGGATTCACTAGCCATAGTGAAGCGATCTAAACGCCAGATGGTCGCTCCACTCGTTTGAAGCTATGTTAGTCGGTGGTGCACCTGGAACGGCTCAGCCCAAAGGATCCAATTGGTTAAAGCCATCGAATTTATCATATGCGAATGAAACAATTCAATAAATTCCATATTTTAAAGAAGTCTGTTTAATTAATTTTTGAAACAACACAATCACGAATAAGAAATGAGGATATCCAACGTGAACTGACGATTTAGTATATTGCAATATAGTGTTACTCAAGTGAAACGATGGTAAGGAGTCGATTAATCCGTGGTGGCAGTTCATCGAACAGCCCAAGGAGTTAGAAAGCACAAGTCCCTAGATACCTGCTAAAGTATTTACTGAGTGAGTCAAATATTCCGAAAGTTCGACATTTTACATTTTGCTACCGGTTCACTAGACTGCTTCAGGTTCGTGACAGAAGACACAATGAATTCTCAATTATTAGTTTGTAGGGGTTTGACTGATTGGTTACAGGATTTCATAATAAACTGATATCGGTTAGAGAACCATTGGGAAACCTGCAGGGAGTACTGGATAGCCAACTGTTTCGTCAGCCTAGTTTGGGTCTCTTCATCAGCATGCACCCATCAGGATTCGAACCCAGGGACATTGGATAGGATCTCAGAGGACTAATGGTCTACGAGCTAGCTCGCCTTGTAATCAGAAAGTCCTGGGTTTGGACCCTGGCGGGGGGTGGTGCGTACTGATGAAGAGTTCCAGACTAGGACGAAACAGGTGTCCAGTTCTCTAACCGATGTCAGCTCATGATGAAATCCTGTAATCAACACAATGAATTCGTTCAGTCAGTCTAACTTATAAAGACACAGAACAGAGTATTTCACATAACTTCTTATCAATGTGAAGAGAATTTCACATTCAACATAAAAAATATATACACGAGGCTTTTTCTCATCTGTTGTTGTGTACGGATGCTAGTGCTGCTGCTGCTAATGATGCTGATGATGAAGATGACAGATAGCAAAAAGCAGAGAAATTATGAACACTCTTTTCCCTTTCTACATTGTCCTTTTATGACGATAAGAATCTCGTTGTATTAGTTAAAAGATTTTAAAAAGGGTTATAAAATGATATGTAACCTGGATACAGGCAATATTGAATAACAAATATATATACATATATATATATGTTACTTATAAACTGGAAGAAGAAGAATAAGATGATGAGATGAAGAGAATTAGTGGAAATGTTTTGCATAGCAGTTGTATGATAGACGCACATTGAAACAGTATACTTATTTCTACTTTAGTAGTATATATACATATACATAAAATTCATGCATATGTGCATGTAGTAAGATTCATCTTACAGCAATTATTGAAGAGGAGAGAAGAAGAGAGGAGGAGGAGAAGGGGGGAAGGGGAGACGAAGAAACACAACTGAAAAACAGTGTGCTAATTACTAGATGGAATTTGCATCTTTATTCCTGTTTAATATAGTTTTCTTTCTTTCGTTCTTTCTTTCAGTTTTCCATTAACAAGATCAGTCATACTATGTAAGAATGTTTTACATTGATAAAACTGGAAAAAAGCCCACCTTCTAGCTATCTAGCTAGATGGCTAACTAACTAACTAAGTAAGTAATTACAATATTATATTCATTTCATCAACTTGATTGTTTAATGATTTTATCAGTTTATTAACTTGAACAAGGTGAGTACTTCTCTACAGACAGATAGATAGACGAATAGACAGATGGATAGATAGATAGATAGAACAAAGAGACAACAATTAATGAAAGTCTTGTTGAAATAAAAAACACACACTAAAGATTATCAGACAACCTTAATGTTCTTATGTATGCGACTTTCAGAGATGAAATAGTAGAGAAGATTTGTAGATCAAGTGGAGGATTTGCAATAACCCAATTGACAAATAGTCGTCTTTTCCCTGTGTTTGGAACGTTTCGTCATAGCGTGTGTCTCAGTGAAGTTTTGTCAGCCATACAGTACAGAAAGTAACCTCGCCCAGTTAACTAGCTCGGTAGTTCTTTAGCCGCTCCCAAGCCCAGGTAAAGAGGGAGGGTTGGGCGTGAGGCCAGCAACCCCACACCACTAAATCTTTCAAACCGTTAGAGAAACTTCAATGCACAGAAAATATATTAAAAATGCAAAATCTTCAAATAAAAATCTCATTCTTTCCTCGAATCGGAGAGGCGAAATGACACTGCGAACTGGTGAAAGCCTTCGGGAAGCCAGTCAAATGTGTCTTCTTTCGAAGAAAGCAAAAATAAGGATGGGATTGTGGAAGGTAGGTACATACGTACGTACGTATGTGTACGAGACTGCGAAGGCTGCTGACGTAGCCAACGAAATGCGAAGATATGGCACAGAAGTGCTGGGTATCTACGAGAGCAGATGGAATGGATGTAGGCTGTTGGATTGTCAACTGAAGAGTCAGTAATCTACTTCGGTCACCCAGACGACAACCACAAACACACTGAGGGAGTGCCTATCACGATGTCACCAGTGGTAGACAAAGCCCCCTAATGCAGTGGGAACCAATTTCATCCCACAGGATCATGTCAGCAAGATTCAACTCAAAAGGAAGGAAGGTTAAAATTACCCAGTGCTACGCACTAGGCTACAAACAAGACGGAACAAGAGAAGGAAGATTTTTAGAGACAACTACAAACTGTAATAGACATCCCGAATAGTGACATCAAAATCCTTAAGGGGGGCTTGAATGCCAAACTGGGAGCAGATAATACAGGAAGAGAACTCATCACGGAGGTAACTTCCTTCACTTATCTAGGAAACATCGTTTCAACTACAAATGGAAAGGAAAAAGATGTTAAAATCAAAATCTGAAAGGCAAGATACACCTTCGTCAACCTGAAACCAGTTTGAAAATCTTCCGCACTCAGCAGAAGGAACAAGATTCGCATTTTCAACAGAAGTGTGAAGTCGGTTCATCTATACGGGTCAGAAACTTTCACTGCGTGTCTCAAAAGGGATTTCCAACAGGCCTCTTGCAGACTTTTATCAACAGCTATCTTCGCACCATAATGAAGATCGAATGGCCAGAAATGATAAGCAAGAAGAAGCTATGGGAACAAACCAAAGGGCCGATTGCTCAACAAATATGTATGAGAAAGTGTAGATGGATTGGGCATGCGTTGATAAGGCCATCGAATGACAGTGCGTGCTAGGCACTGGAGTGGAATTCTGACGAGAAGCGACGAGTGGGTCTTCCTAGGGTCACATGGAGGAGATCGTGTTAGGAAGAGATGAAAGAGTTTGGTTAATCGTGGACCCAGCTGAAGAGGACGGCAGAAAACAGAACAAAGTGGAGATGTGTTGTTGAAGACCTATGTTCCACTCGGAACGCAAGGGAATAATAATAATAAAAATACAGCAAAACGTAGACCGAATAAAATTTGGTCGCTACACTTTATTCTTTCTCAAAAATGAAGAGCGGAAATAATTGCGCAGGTTTCTAGCACATGTGAAGGTATTTTGGATAGTGCTGTATTGTCTTACTTCCATGGCTTTAATTCTCCTTCTAGACTTCAGATGAAAGCTTTGAAGTTAAAACATCCAACTCAAAGTACACATAAACACAAAAGTAACTAGCAAAATGTTTCCCAAATGTTGCTTTGTAGGGATTAGATAGGCGTCAAGTTTTATCATGAACTATCATCAGTTAAAGAAACATATAGAAACATGGAGTATTGGACGATTATTCCGTCTTAATTTAGGACTTTTAAATTGTACACAGTCTGAAGATCCTGGTTCGACTTCTAACGGGATCTTAGATGCACACTGTTGAAGGGTGCCGAACTAGATTGAAGTAGCGGTGGTTTTCTAACTGATATTAAACGTGAAGTCAATCAAATCTGTACAGGGCAACACTTGGAATTCATTCTAAGGCTTCCTACTAAATGACTACAGGATTAACCTCCAGGAGAAAACTTGGCCAGTTTGACTCACCAAGTCGGGTGTCAGGATAAATACTTTCTGATAACATTGTTTAGTGGTGGGACTAACTGTCGCGAATCAGCAGAGGTTGGAATTCGTAGACCCTTTGATTTTAAACAAATGGTACAATGATCAATGTAGCCCAACGGTAGCGAATTAGATCCCTAGTAGGAGGTGTGTGTACTTCCTTCTAAAATGGACCCAAACTAGGATGAAACAGGCATCCAGAGTACTTACTACCTTTTCAGTAGTTCTTAAACAGACGTCAATTGGTGGTCAAACTTCAAAAAAATGTTTTATAAAGTAAAAATTATAATTTTTTTAACAAAGCGAAAACTTACTTCACGTGGTGATAAGATTGAAATAAAATCTTCATAAATGATACGAGCTTTTTCTTCAACAATTTCTGGATTATTCTCTTTTCGTATATCTTCACAGGCAAGCCAAAACATAATATTCTCTTCACTATATTCTGATCGTAGGAATTCACGGAATGTTTTTTGACCACCTATTATTAGTATTATTATTGGCAAGAAAGTAAAGGTTACAATTGGTACATGCACAAAAATAAACTAGTAAATGAAAATTCTTTTCAATTGTTGGCTTGCAGGGATTTGATCTGACTAAGTACGGGATTTTACCATAAGCTGATGTCGATTAGAGAACCACTGGAGAACCTAGGAGTACTGGACAGCTGTTTCGTCCTAGCTTTGGACTCTTCAACATTCATAGGACACTGGATCGAGTCCCAGTGTCTTAATGGTCTACAAGCTCGCCTTGTAGCCAGAAGGTCACGGGTTCAAACCCCGTTCCGATGAAGAGTCCAGACTGGGACGAAACAGCTGTCTAGTAGCCTGAGGTTTTCTGATAGCTCTCTAACCAATGTCAGCTCATGGTGAAATCCTGTAACTAAAGAGAAATCTTTTGCCTAATTGAATGAAATAGTGCAAACTGTCGTTGGTTTCCTTAAACAAAAGAAATATGTTGGACCATCGGACAGTGTGGATTTAGCAGGAGATTGTTCTGGCTATTGTATAGTATGAAAAGTGTTCTATCGTTACCTGTAGAGGTGGTTTATAGTCCGATCTACAACTGACGATGTAGGGGTTGGATAATTTAAACAATCTGTCTGTTTCATTTGAATCCATCCTAATAAATTGCTTATGATTCGGCTCAACACTACTGATACCATTCAGTAGTATATATGCACCATATAGCTTCATGCTGTGAAACATTATGTTTTTAAGTGTCTGGTTCATAGAGCCAGGTTAATCTGTTCAGACGACTGCCTCAATGAAGAGCTTAAGATTATTAGAGAATTACTTAGAAAAAAAATGGTTATCCAGATAAATTCATTGAGAAAAATATGAATTCAACACCTAGGAGAGTCAGTGCGGCAACAGCACCAGAAAAAACCATTGTTCATAAAACTGCAGTTCCTCGGTGACAACATCAGCGAAATAATAACACAGCGCCTGAAGAATGCAGTTATAAGAGCTTGTTAATGCAGCAGAGGTACGTTGTCTCTTCACAACCACCTCTATTCTACGTTCGAGAAATAAGGATAAACTACCTAAATTTGCCTCTTCTATGTGTATTAAACAGTTTGACTGCAGCTGCGGAGCCAGCTACATTGGGTGTACAATTAGGCAGTTTCATCGTCGTATTTCTGAACATCATCCAGCGTGGTTAAGCAAGGGACAAACAAGATCTATTCGTAGCTCTATTGTAGCACACTTTGTAGATAGTGAGCATAAGGTTGATGTGAATACTACATTTAAAATTATTTATCGCATTCCTACTAATCTTAATTTTGCTCTACGAGTTCGTCTTCTACATACAGCTGAAGCAATAGGAATCCACCTGAAGAAGCCAAACCTGTGCGTGTTCAGAAGAAATTTGTACAGCCACTTTCCTTACCTTGGCCTTCATTACATGAATGTGTTAACGGGATTACTTCGCCCCTCCTCCCCCAAAACATTTAAAATTATAAAAATTATAATTGTCCAAATTATTTTATTTTTTCTGACCATTTCATCTTTAATTACGTGTTATCCTTGTAAAATTAATTTATTCTAACCATTTCTACCGTTTAATTGTGTGTATTAATTTTCTTCGTTAATTATCACCCCATTGACATTTTGACACTGACTAATTATTGTTAACAAACACATCGCCCACCACTTGATTGGTAAACTGTTGTGTATTGTAATAAAAATGCTACACGTGTATATTAGAGTAGAGCCACAGTGAGATGAGGATCTAATTGAAAAGTAAATATTTCTTCGCTCAATCTTTCTGTTTTCTAAACACTTATGTTGTTTTACAGTAAGAAATCGATTCTACTTTATGAACTAAAGGTGCTTGGCTTCTAACATAGAACTAAAAAAGACGATAATTTGTCAATTAATACGCTTTATAAACCATATAATGATTAAAATATACTCACATGAACTTCGCATTAATATATCAAATGATTCTGCCCATTTTCTTAATTCTTCTAGTGTAATTCTAAAAAATAGTAAACAGAAAAAACAACAACAATTAGAAACAATTATTTATTTTATAGTAGGATAGTTCTTGGGTTAGTGAACTGTCTGTCAGCGATGTAGCTGGATGATAACTGCTGAAGGTAGAAGGTGGGTGGAATGAAAGTATGAGTCAATGCAGGATTTTAACTCGATGCTTATGAATTACCCCAGTCATCAGGCGGTCTACCAGTTGAGCTATGCAACTCGATAGCTAACTTGGTTTATCCTTAGTTATCATGTGGATGGAGAGGGACGTGTCATTCAGTCATGTGACAACTAGTGGTGATTACTTGTGGTGATTTCAATGAAAAGATGACCGGGTTAGGAGAAGAAGGTAAGTTTTATAGTTCAGTTAGTAGATAGCTGGATTAACTTATCTCATTGAAACAACGAAAGAAAATATAACGCAAGCAAAAAATGTATTTGAACTTGGTACATTCCATACTATTACTGTCCACGTCATAATCTGCTGAGTTACCTCGATCTCTGAGTTATTTCAAATATATATATATATATATATATATGTGAGTGGGTTGATGGCACAGCGGTTAGGACGCTCGTCGACCATGCATGTGCTCCGATGTTCGATCCCCGGCCAACGCACTCCTCCCTTACCTCGCTAAGCCAGAAATAAAGCTGAAAAAGAGGGGAGGTTGGGCATCAGGCTAACAACCCCATCCTGTAAAAACAATCACCACTGCTACAGAAACTTCAAGCCTGTAGCTTGAAGGAGCCCGATGTTTCACTGGGAACGTGAAGGAATTATATACTATATATATATATATATATATCAATAAAAATAATAGAAAATATAAATTTAGATGGGGTTAAAATTAGTTTAGAAAAAACGACCCCAATGCCTACAAAGAAGGCCTGTTTCCTAATCTTTTTTTGCAAAGAATCGAGAAAATGCTCTCACTCAGGCGCAGACGAATAACTCTCACCACTCAAGATATTGTTAAATATTTATTTAGCTGTGATCAAACATATAACAGTCAGTAAAAGGTGAGACAACTTAACTCCATTACGGATAAGATTTTATTTTGATAAATCACACTGGGTTGTACAGTAATATCAACTGATGACCACCTTACTGCTGATAATCATATCAAGTCACTCACACAACTTTTTACTTCATTTATATACATGAGTGGAATTGATGATTAGACATTGAATAAAATCAATATGAGATAATGTACATTCGGAAATAATAATATGAGTGTTACCAATAAAATACAATCAGATGGGAGAAAAGGTGTTTTTACAGTAAAAGCAAGTAACTTGTAATGTGAATTGAAATAGAATTTTAAGATTATTTATTATCCTCCTCTGATTTGACTGACTGGTGGTAATAATATCTTCCACATTTCTGGTATTTGAGTTGAGTCACTTCGGTTGCATGTGTTGGGTGCAGATTATTCGATGAACGAGGATTCAGTAATCAGTCTCTCTCTCCACCTATCTGCATTACTTCTTAGAATTTTAACCCTCTCCCACCCTATTGTGTAGTTGTGTGTTAATGCATGCAGTGCAATTGCTGAGTTTTTTTCTAAATTACTTATCTTCTTGGGAGAGAGAATGATTACTGAATCCTGGTTCATTGAATAATCTACACCCAACACATGCAACAGAAATGACTCAATGCAAATACCAGAGATATGGAAGATATTATTACCGTCAATCAAATTAGAGGAGGATAATAAATAATCTTTAAATTCTATTTCAATTCATATACACTATAACATTCCAACAAGTTACTCATTATGACTATAAAAACACTCGTCTTATTTCCCTTCTGATTGCATTTGATTGATAAAACTAATATTATTTCTGAATGTACTTATCTTATATTGATTTTTATTCAAATATCTAATCAGTTTCACTCGTGTATATAAATGAAGTAAAAACATTGTGTGAGAGTACCTTGATATGATTATGAGCAGTAACAAATTGTGTTCGAAAGGTGGTCATGAGTTAATATTACTGTTTAACAACACTGTGTGATTTTATCAAAATAAAATCTTATCTATAATCGGGTTATACTCTACCACAGTGCCGAAGTTTTATACTAAAATCAGTAGTGAGATAACTTAATTAAGTCACTGAAGATAACCGATGAATACTATCTAATTCGTAGTGATAATGGAATTCTACTGGCTAGATTTTTCATATAATCACTAAACTAAGGGACTCATTATCGTAATGCAGGATAAACTTATCTTACTGATTAGAGGCTTTTGGCGGAAAGCGTAGTACTTAGGTTTCAGGCTTGTCATTACTTCTTGGAAAATACGAAAGAATGACTATTCTTTCATAGAGTCAAATACATTTCATCCAGTGCTTCAGTTAAAAGTGTTCCTACCTCCAACTAATTAGTAAGCGAATAACTTCTTTAAATAAATTATAAGAAGATTTACATATTTTGATTTGCATGACTGAGTTAAATAGTGACATCCGTAAAAATAAACCTGTTAAATACGTTCTGATTATCAGTATTCTAATAACCTTATTTATGTGACTTATCTGCAGGTAAGTTTAATGAAGTGAAGCTCTCGACTTGTATTACAAATGTGAAATAATAACCTTTAAGATAAAGCCTTGAAAAAACCGTTACTGTTGTTTCGTAATCGCTCTTTATTACCATATTTTCTTTTGTATTTAGCTATATACTACCTTTTTCGTAATAAGTAGTTTATGCCTCGTTCATTATGTTATCGTAACTATTCATTTTTATTAAAGTATACCTCAACTGTCTTCATATTTTATTTCGTCTATTGTAATTCTTATTCTGTTATCATACTGTTTATATTTCTCATATCTTTCACTCTCTCTTCCTTGTCTCTTGTTTACTCTAACAGTTTTTACCTCGTTATGCAAATGCTTGAGTTCTTCATTTTTAACCGTAGATCATTTCAACACTTCAACGCTCACATGCTCCGTTTATCCTATTCAGATTATAATTTTTGAAAAGAGATTAAGATTAATTTCAATGTAGACTTCATCATGGACAGACATCAGTTAGGGAATAACTGAAAACAAGGGATCTTTACTGAAGTTGTTGGGTCCACCATGTCAAGTTAAAGCGGATGCTCAACTCTGGCATTGGTTGGAGGTAGCGCTATATTGCAAATTAACAGAAGTTAAAATCCAAAGGTCACTGAGCTCCTAACCGAATGAATGAATGATCAACGAGTTGATCATGTAAACTGAGAGCTTCAGGTTCATTCTTTGATGGGATCGTGGGTGTGAACTGTTGAAGAGTCCCAAATTGGGGTGAAGTAACTGCTCAGCGATTCTGTCTGTTGGTTCTTCACATAATCTACATCAATGTTTATCCCATTGATGTATCGTACTGAAAGTATTTCTGACTGCAACTATACCCAGACATCTCATGATTCTAGGTCTCTAATTTGTTATTCTTTATCCTTATTTATTAGTGTACTAGACAAATCTCATCTTCTGGATGTTAAGCATTCCTCGAGAGCTTCGTGTATACGACGAAAGGTTAGATAATTTGAATTTCCTTGTAATGTTTCCACAACATGAATAATTTGAACGAAAAGTTATTCTTCAGGCTCTACAGTTATAAACCCATGCATGTTAGCCGTAGAAAGTCAATCACATATCACAGACTGTATTGTGGTGTAACGGGAGAAGATAAGAGACTTAGTAACCGACCTTTATTAAGGCAAAACACATTATACATTCATACATTCTTAGCCACATTAACGTTCAGCTAGGTCAGAGGAGAACAGACTGCTCTGATTGGTTGGCGATTGGCTCAAGGTTAAATAAGTTGTCCAATGAGATTAGTCCGTGTTCACAACATGAAGTAAATCTAGATTTGAGGAATAAACACTTCTACCTCTGTGCAGGCATTGAATTAAAATGTTGATCTCAGTTTTGGCTCCTTCCTATCAATCTGCATCAGGCTACAATGGACAGCTATCGGACAGTGAAGATACATGATAAGCCTATTGTAAATCCAGAAGTTGACAAATACTACTACTAATAATAGTAATAGTAATAACAGGATGAAGTAAATTAGTTGAAAGGTAGTGGAAATTTGTAACTACAGATCCTGAAGAAGTTATTGAAAATAATTATTCCCTCGAATTATTCTTGTTCTGATAATTTTAATTCTTGATTTCTCAGAAGATACCTACATTCAGTCATTGATGTAGACATAAGGATCTTCACCTCCTGATTACGCGCCTAGACGCTTACTTACACCGTACACTACCCATAACTGCAAAGATTCAGAATATTTGCCTAAGGCTAGCAGAACGCTTAACCTCACCTATTTCACTGGTTGGTTCTAAACTCAGAAAAGAGGGGAGGTTAGGCGTGGGGCTAAATACCCCATCTTGTAAGAAAATAACCCACTAGCTACTGAAATTTAAATACACAGAAAAAGTACACCTATTCTCCTCGAAATCGATGAGGACTGATGACGCCGGCTGATGAAAGCTTTTGGAAAGCCAGTCGACCGACGTATCCTCTTTTGATGAAAACAAAAACAAGCATTGGGGCATGGAATGTCCGCAAAATGTTTTAGGCTGGCAAGGCCGCTCAGATTGCAAAAGAAATAGGAAGATATGGTATTGAAATGTTAAGAATTTGTGTGAGCAGATGGAATAGATATGGATTCTCCAAATTTTTAACTGGAGAGTCAGTATTCTGCTACCCAAACGACAGCAATGAGCACACTGAGGAAGTGGCTATCATGATGTTACCAACAGCATAGAAAGGTCTTATGCAATAGGAACCGATTTCCTGCGTGATTATGCAAGAGGAAATAGAAGTGGATTGAGCATATGCCAAAGAGACCTTCAAGTGACATCACACACCAGGCTCTCCAGTGTAACACAAATGGGAAGCGTTGAGTTGGATGTCTAAGGTCGACATAGTAGCGATCATGTTAAGAGGAAGTGGCAGCTTGGGGGATAACACTGTTTAAATGATTTAACTATAGTCTACGTGAACACTTTTTGCAAACAATGAATTAACTCGTAAACAATTACAACAATTCTCAGTGTATGTATGAAGACCACACGTAACCTTGTAAATGAATTAGAGCATTACTTACTTTTCATCACCAACTGGACCATCTATTGTCGATTGTGGATCGTTTGAAGCTGAGGGTCTTTTTGATTCACCAAGGTTTGTGCGTACACGCATACTTCATAATATAAATAAGAGAAAAGAAAATATTCAATCAGATCGCTAACATTTCATGTATTTTAGAATATCAAATTGTATAATTAATTACAAGGGGAATTACATTATACCATCCAGTGCTAAATATGAACGACAAGGACTCTGCATGAAAGAGTTGTATTCACCTCGACCTAGATATAGTAGGCGGTAAAAGCGCACAGTAGAATTATTATCCTGCTATTTTAGGTGTTTTATCGAAAGCTGATGAATTAATCAAATTTGAAAGTAATTACTCTTCCCTGGTAATGTGTATTCATAAAACCATAAAATAAATTCATGCACACTATATTGAAATTAATGACATACTGCATTTTTACCCAGTGGCAGAATATTAATACTGTGAAGTTTTAATGGTTCCAACTTCTACTTTTAGAGTGATTCTGTGTGGATAAACATTGCTGCAAAGTCCCAAACAGGATCAGGACTAGGGAATGGAGTTTCCAGAGTTCTAGTAAACAGTCATGACCAGTAGGCTATAGCAAGTCGGGTCTAAGGACAGGTACTCACTGATGACACTGGCTACAGGTAACAGTACGTATCGCGGATAGGTAGAAGTTGGAAATCATAGACCCTTTATATTCATCCTAGTGACTAAATGGTCCAGGATTTAGTCCTCAGTGGGGAGAATCAAACTAGCACGAAAAGCTGTCGTGTACTAACTAATTCTCAGTGGTCCTCTGAATGATATATGAAATCAACCAGACTCTTGGAAACTGACGCTGCAAAGCACAGAAAAGCTTCTTATTAATCCTGGAATACCAGACCTGATGATGTATACAGGATCTATCTACTTTAAACCATTGCATAAACATGCAAATTAGCCTTGTACTTCTAATTGAAAAGCTATCTGATTATCCATTCCCTTTTCATTTGACCTCAGTTCTACTTTATCTGACAGGTAATTAATCACCCAGGTAAATGAACTATATTACTTGACTTATATTTTCCCACTGGATAACTGAAAGGCATAATTTTAGTACCTTATAAAAGTGTAGTTACTTTGATTGGACGCTAGTTAGTAACTAGTGTAATGTGTGTAGTCTTTTGTTTGGTGCAAACCGAATTCTACCAGTTACGTTTGCAATGTGGTCACCACGCCACTAGGTGACTTGCTATTACGGAGCACTTTGAACTGTTGGTATTAGATGGTTGGGGGGAATATGCAGATTTCGTGAGCGTTGGCACTTGTCAGCAAGGAATGTCTGCAATTTTGAAGGAACTCATGTTCGCATTGCAAACTTGACTGACTGGATTCACTTTACACCAAACAAAGGACTACACACGTTACACTAGTTACTAACTAGTGTCCTTTGAAAGTATCCAATATAGAGTCCTACAGGAGGTCAATCGCAAGCCCGAATAGCACAGTGGTAACGTCTCTGACTGCAGCATGGGTGTGACACGGGTTCGAATCTCAGGAGGGATGTGAATTCCTTCAAAAGTGCAGACACGCCTTGATGACTGGTGAGTGCCAACAAGTACGAAAGCTGAGTCACAGGGGGGCTTCCTGTAGATTGCTTCTAATCACCTAATAACAGGGATAGTTATAAAACGTCTGCTACACTTGATACTTTCATCAGCAATATACAATAGGTTGAAGGAATTTCTTGCATCAAGAGTCTCCAGTCAAAAAGCCCAACATGATTAAAGATTTTTTAATTCCTTCGACTCTGACTCTTAGTTCAAAAGTTAGGCAGTGAAATGATTGAATCAGCTGACGGCTTCACCTATTCAAGAAATTTCATCTGTCCTATTATGCTGATTTCCGATGAATTCTATGCATAGGTACAAAAGAAACTTGTTTTGTTGACTGTCTACTTGAGTTATTTGTGGTTTGAGCGTGAAATTCAACTGTTCATAGATGGGAAAATGGATCAATCAAGTTGTTAAGTTGAGTTAACTTTGTTGGCCGGGACATGTGTGCATTACTGCTTTCCGAGCCGAGGTCTTTCTCAAGAAATGATAGGTTAAACCTATTTAACTTGCGAAAGGGATAGAAGTGGACAGGCCAGAACATACTGTTAATTCACAAAGTCACTGACTGCTGGTCTGGAAGGTGTAGATGTCCTGGTTGTGGTCCTCGTGGTGCTCAGAATCAGTGGTTGAAGACTCTCAGTTAGACTGATGACAGTATTTTCAAGACTTTGAAAATGTTCACTAATCCTCATTTAATGACTCTATCTCTCGTATATCTCCGTGCACTATTGTGTCACAACAAATCTCTTTTCTGCTTAAAATAAGACACAGTGCGCACATTCCTGTTACCATTCTTGTTTAATATAAGTCATTCAGTCTTATTTTTCAATGATTCTTAAGCTGATGTCTCTATCTGACCAAATATACCTTGAAATTATTTAGTTCATTCTTTGAAAATCTACAAATAATAACTTTACATCGTAATGGGAAGACCTGATCAACAATATAAGTTGAATCATTCCCAGTTTTCCATTTATTGCATTGATTTTCACTCACAATCACACACACATATACTCATCGTGAACTATACTATGAATTTAAGAATCACTTGCTACATACTTAGATAATCCGCTTAGTTCTTGTTTTCCTTATAAGGAGATTCGACCACCTCCCCTGAGATTAACCCAAGGACAAGTAACACAGACACTGTACAAAAATCCCCTTTTTCTTCTAGTTGTCACCTCATCATATTGAGTCTAAGTACTGACGATTTAGTTGGTCAGAACAAGAAAGTAGGGTAAATGCTACGTTTATTACATTTAAAATATTTTAAACGTTGCACTACTTCATTAATTCCTACATGAAAAAGGTGAAAAACCTCGAGTTTCGTCATTTGGGGTAGATTTCTTCACAAATGGGTGTAAGTTATTGCATCAGTAAAACTCCAAGGAACCCTGGGTAGCTGTCACAGTCTAGTCTAGAACTCCTCGGCAGTGTGCGCGTATCACCTCTCCAGATATCAAACCCAGGACGTTTAGGCTGGGAATTTAACACGTTGTCTATATATCCACAAGGTTCGTGATGCAGCGTCCAACCTAACTAATTCCATAAGCAAATATGTGTCCTCACATGTGACTCGGCAAACCCAATCCATCACGACTTCTAATTAGAACTACAGAGACTTTATCCTATAAACTCATAATTCAACCGTCTTTATACTTCATGGACCAATAAAATCGACTCAGTACAATCCCCGGTGGGACCATATCTCGTGCTATTTGGTTTTCAATGGTTCTCTAACTGATAATCAGCGTAAAATCAATTTAGGTTCAGTTGAAAACAAAGACTCTTTTAAGATACAACTGTCTATTTCTCTCTTCCAATCTTCCGATAAAACGCAGTGTTATTATGTTTATTTTCCTCGTAGTAATTTAAGAATAACGTTGCCACTGTCCATATCTCTCAAAGCTTTAACAGTATACCGTAAAAGTAAAGATAAATACCATAGCTAAATGACCTTAAAACAACCAATCAGATCGCTCAACATTACAAAAGGATGCTTCTGATATTCCTTGTTGTCAGTTTCACCCCGATTCAGGATAAGGTTAACGGTTGAGGTTAGTTTAGGCTTAAGATTAAAGCGGAGTCAGCTCAAAACTAGTATTGGAGTCGGACTAAGGTTAGGGTTTGGGTTAGAGTAGGATATGGTTAGGTTTAGTAGATTAGCGTTACGGTCGGGGTCAGGTTAAGGTGAGGGTGGAACTTTCAAAGAAAACTATGGACACCATTCATTTGAAATGTTTAGCATTGTGACTATCATCATCAGGATATATCCATCATGAAGTCAATAATTCATTAAAAATTAATGGATCCTAAAACTGGTACTCATAAAAAATTCTTCTGAAGGACATTGGGCATATAAAAAACAGTTTAGAATAGTATTTGTCTACACTCACTCCTATTAAAAAAACTGGACCTGTTTATGCAGCACATTAGCGACACATACGCTGTGTAGTTCGCGTTTATTATGTACATATATATACCCTGTAATGATACTTTTTGTACTAAAATGCCATATTCATCTCGAAGAATGTGATTAGCTGATTCAAGGTCATTTGGCTGCGATATCTATTTTTAGCTGTTGCCCAGTATGCATTTTGATATATTTAACAATACTGAGCAATGTGATGGTTCAGTTTTCCAGTTCTAAGTGTCTATCCATCAACAAATGAAGATTTTTTGCAGGATAACGAACTCATATCGCCTCATTTGATGTTAAAGACAAGGTAATTAGGAGTAAGCACGTGTTGCTTGAAACTCCAAAACGGTATCCACCGGATTATTTATCATAATGAAATACACTGAGGTGATGATAGCCATACGTAAAATTAAGCCCTGTCTTTGTATACAAAATCAATTTACTGTTTTTCCTTGAACCCCCTTGAGGGATACCTATCTGATGATATTACCAAGAGCGATGTTCATTATTATCCGTATTAGTCTTGATTACCTTATCCTTTTGTTTGATTTAATTGGTTTTTCATTTTTTTATATAAATTGAAATCACTGGTAAATGTTTGATCAGATTGTTTGAAGTGTACCCCACAAATGTACCACATTGTTTATTCCTTTAGGTTCCCAGTGGAAAATAGAGATTCAAGCTACAGGCTTGAAGTTTCAGTAGCAGTATTATTTATTTTTATACGATAGGGATGCTAGCCTCATTCTCAACCTTCCATCTTTACCAGCCTTAATACCGGCTTAGTGAGGCAAAGGAGTGGGTCGCTGGGGATCGAACTTCGAACCACATGCATGGTTGGCGAGCATTCGACCGCTGTGCCACCAACGCACAATGTACCACATATTCCAGGTATTTTAAATGTATATTGGACATTTTTGATATTGATAATGGAATCGTTTCTATTCACAGTGACTAGCCCTGGAAGTAGAGCTATGCTTTAAGCACCACAATGTAGCAAAGCAGAAATGAACGCAGCAGTGACATGGAAAAGGTCACTTTTATATGTAAAACACGTATATTTATGAAATTAAGGAATAAAATGGCATGAAACGGTTACACAGGATTCCTTCCTATGACATATGATAAAAACGCCTGTCAATTTTTGCGTGATATCTCGCCTATTAGGTTAACCTTACCCAAACCTAAACTAAAGCTTACCAGATATCTCGTTTAATATTACAGTACTTAATTAAACATATTTTATTCCAGATTGTAGTGCTTATTACTTGGTTTCACTGACTTGCTGACTGGATATTCGAGGGCTTTTGGTGCGGCCTCACTCCTTTGGTGCTGAGAGTTAAATTTCACCGCACCTGAGTTCAGGATGCACATTTCGTCTTGTTTAGAATTTATCAGCTGGGTGCACCTGCATTCCAAGCAAGTTATTGTGTCCCCACTGGGGCTCAAACCAAACACCCATCGTTTCAAATTCCAAAGTGCTGTCCATCAGGCTATGAGGGTGACGGGAGCCACCTGTTCTACTGCGGATAATGTTTATGCGTTTCAGATGATAGGTTCGGGTCTCAGTGGGAACAGCATCATGCATTGGTAATCCAGGTACATCCGTCTGATGAGTCCTGAACAGGATAAATTCCAGAGTTAGTCGACATCAATCGAATCCGAGAAGCCAATGAATCACTCTAACTAGGACCAGACATTTTTTTATTACAGCTTGATTCCACACCGTATTTTTGGTACAAGTATGGAATTTTTAGCATGGATATCGGTAGCCCAAATTTTGCAGGCCGACCATAGATATCGGGTGTGCGTCGGCAGGGGATCGAACCCTGGACCATGTGCATGATCGGTGAGAGTCCTAACCACTGTGCCACCGACGCACATGTCAACAGAAACTGAGAGTTCTGGTCCAACATAATCGATCAATTATTAGTATTAAATTAGCCTAAAAATCATATCATCATAAGGATTTATTAATAAATAGTGAAAATAAAGATAACTCCTTCATTTACTTACCATGAACAAGAACAACAACAACACCAACAGAAACAACATGTCCTTGACCGAGGATCTGAAATAATCTGACTTGCATTATTTGAATTGATACTACGTCGTGTTGTCAGCTCATTAGCAACTGTTATCTCCGCTGCAGTATTTTTATCCTCAGTGATTGTTTCAAAGTGGCCATCTGAATTAGTAGTTTTATTTGTTGGTATTAATGATGTCTGACATGAATTCGTCGAAACTGTCGGTACTGAGACTGTACGTTGTTGTTGTTGATTGACTTTACGCATGCCACGATTACCGCTAGATCGATAAGTGGCTTCCGATATTGACGTTCTCAATGCACCACGTAGTATTGAGCTACCTGGGATGCTACTGTAAATATTTGCTTTTATGTATTGTTTGTCTTTCGGGGAATTAGAAAAAATATTACTATTATTATTACTATTGTTACTATTACTTCTAGCACCACCACCCGCGCCGCCGCCATTATTACTAGTACTGGGATTGGAATTATCATTTGTAAAATACAATGATATCCGCTGAAATGTTCCAGCCATTGAATCAGAATAGGATCTGTCTGTTTTCATATTCGGTGCGAATTTATTATTATCATTATTACTACTGTTATTATTATTATTAGTATTATTATGCACCCAAATGTTCCGTGAGACAAATTTACTTGTGTCGAAATAGGACTCTGAACCAGCATGAGCATTCATATTTGTATCGCACTTGTTTCGTAAATGATTATTATTATTATTACTATTATTGGGGAGATTAATATCATTATTGTCAGCAGTACTATTAGTACTAGTAGTGATCACATTACAGGCGAGATTTTGTCTTTTCAATTCAGAATGTGCGCAGAATGATTGAGAACACTGGATATTTGTAATATAAGTAATTGAATATTGACTCGATGTTACAATGTGCATATTTTCAACACAAGAATCTGATGAATGAATATATTTATTGTATTATTGTCAGTATAGTCATTACTATTATTATTACTACTACTATTATTATTTTTATCAAAATATTGATTATGACTAGTCGATTTGTGAGGATTAGAAGAAAGTGATGCATGCGATTCAGTTTTATTCCTTGATGATGACAATGAGTTGACGACATTCAGTCGATCTTCAATATGAGGAGAAAATGATGCTGAAAGTGATGGGGAATTGTAGTGTGTATCTCTCTTCAGTGGGGTTAAGTTCAACTGGTGTGTACAACTCGGTAGACGATTATGACAATATTGACATACTATTTTCTCTTCATTTGGATCATATAAACTGGAATATGAAGATCCTGGACAGGCTGTTTTAGTTTTGTCACTGAAAAAGAATTTATTTTTTCAAAATGAAAATAAGTTTATATATACATATTTAAGAAATTTTAAATTTCATTGAATACAAAGGTCAGGGCGACTTTCATCATCAAGGACGTAAATCACAGTGTGGGTCAATAAAGTAAAGAACTTTAAACTTTTGATACCACCACTAGCGTACACTCTGCATCGGTGGCACAACATCAGAGTGCTCGCCGACCACGCATGTGGTGCAGGGTTCGTTCCCCTGTCGATGCACTCCTCCTTTAACTCGCTAAGCCAGTTACAGGACTGGTAAAGAGGGAAAGTTGGGCATGAGGCAAGTAACCATATCCTTTGGAATTTTTTATACCCGTTCTTATCAATATTCAAGTTATGCCTTTTGATTTTTAATGAGTACTTCCCAGTTTTCAGTTTTATCATTAACTAATATCAAGTATAAAATAATGAGAAATCACAACAAACAGTCGAATTTTAGATGGACGGGAGAATCTAAAATTCAATTAAGTAATTAATATGACCCGTTGCACAAGAGGTGGTTAGCTGCCGTGGCCCATGTGGTCTAATGGATAACGCTTTGACGTTTGAAACTATAGGCACTGGGTTCGAGCCTCTGTGGGAACATCATCACTCACTGACTAGGGAATGCAGGTACATCCAGATGACGAGTCCCAAATACGACGAAATGCGCCTTATCCTGGATTCCACTGCTAGTCACCATCCACCGATTAAATCGAAACAAATGTTTTGTGGAATTTTCGATGACTTCTCAACAACGCCTATTCAACACCGGAGTCAAGAAGAATGAAGTCAAATCCCTCATCAGGTGTACAAACATCCAACCATCTCAAATAAAGGAAATACACATACATTAGTGGTGGTTCAGTTGTAGAATACTCGACACCTACGCCTCATATGATGCGGGCTTCAATCCCTGGCCACTGACACACACTCCTAAACCTCGCTTAGCTGGTGGTAAGCCGAGTAAAGAGGGAAAGTTGGATGTGAGACTAGAACCCCCCCCCCTAAACACCACTACTATTAATAATAATAAAAAATTCAAAGCTCTAGCTTGGAGCTCCGTGTTTCACTCGGAACTCAAGGGGATAATAAAAGTAAGCAGTAGAAACAGTCTAGACAGTTTTCAAACCTCTTTATTTCAAAGGTTAGTTGCTGTTAGATTTCCAGTTAGGAAAGAAAGCCATCTGAGTTAACGAAACTAGCCACATTAATATCAGCATTTATCACCTCGTGAAGACACGTTGCATTCCAATAAGTCTACACTACTTCTTGACAAACCTCTTGGCAAAAAAACCAACCAAGAGCCGATTGCTCAATAAATATATAGGAGAAAATGGAGAAGGATTGATGGGGAATACGTTGAGGATGCCGTCGAATGACATAGCGCACAATGCAGGTCATAACTCGAGTGGAACCCCAATGGGAAACGACGAGTGAGTCGTCGGTGAGAGCGTGACATGGAGGAGATCGTGTGTTGGGGAGGAGGAGATGAGAGACTATGGACAGTCGTAGACCCAGGTGAAGAGGAGGGCAGAAAATAGAACAAAGCGGATATGCGTTGCTGAAGCCATACATTCCTCTGGGAACCCAAGCGAATAATACTAATGATAATGAGCATTTTAAGTTTAAAGTTAAGTTTGGAGAAAAATCAAACCACATAAATATCCTTCTCATAAATGAATTACTCTGAACTGTCAGTCAGATTTATTATCGGATTATTATCAACCGATGAATTTATTACATGACCTCACTACAAACAGTATGACATTCATGTGCTTCATTTAAACTCAGGAGTTTACATCCAGGGGAAACTAAAGTCAGTACTCAATAACATACACTGATGAATCACACAGTTTATGCTGACAATTCATTGATATTTCCCTTGAAAATCAGAAATATATATTCAGACCACAATATTTCATCTGCTATATATGTAACGACAGAAGGCAAGAGTCAGGCAACAGATCATTTATTAAGGAAATCAACGCATATTTATATATTTGCATGTACATTACTATGGTTATTTAGGCGAACAAACACAGTCTTCCAAATGGTTGTTTCTCACGTAAAGTTAATCTTTCATCTATTTGTGACTGTTTCTTGAATGTCAAATCCTCTATATGTTAACTGCATCTGCCTACGCAAAGTCTGCTGTGGTCGGTTTTGAATCAATCTTTGTTCACATTTTCTCACGACAAATCTTGGGAACGTAAATATTGACGTAAATTACTGTCTACCAATTTGGCTAGTAGACAGCTCTCACCACATATATACAAGAAATGGCAGTCGACAAGGTGAGCATATATCAGATCACATCAAATAGTAGTAGTGATTGTAAACCTCATCGAGCTGAACTAATCAGCAAGTTTTCAGGGTTTATTCAGCTCAGACAGTCCGTTTGTGACTGACTGGCTGCTTTAGAGAATAGGTGATATATGTAGAATCAAAAAGCCAAACAAAAGGCCGCATCATTTTCAGATTATTTCGATTCGTTTGACGTGAGTTTCAATATTGATGCCTATTGCACACAAAAGGTGGCTCTCTTGTGGCTTATTAGTCTAATGCATAGTAGCATCATGGCATATCAGACAATGGGTACTAGGTTCGAGTCTCTATGAGGATGCTAGTACACTTTTAGATGACAAATACCAAACAGAACGAAATGCACGTTGTGGATTTCATTGTTAGTCATCACCAAACAAATAATATCATCTTTACCTCAGGAAATCGTCGAAGCTTCTGGATCAGAAACCGATATGGCGATGAATGTGGACCATTTTGGACCACAGAGTCACAGACGTGAAGCTGTGAGGTTGCATTAACTGTGGTGTTCCTGTTCTTACGGGGGGGGGGACAGTAGCCAGCCGCATGCCTAACTGGGCGACATTTAGTAGTGCACCAGGCGGAAATCGAACCCCAAACGACACCCGTGGTTGGCCAGCATCCAACCACTGAGCCACCAACGCACTTCTGGTGCAACACAGTCAACTAATCGGTCAATCACTTTCGCTGAAAAGTAACTAATATCACGTGTCTAGTCCTGTGTTTGGTGTAGACTGGATTCTGTCATTAAAGTTTACAATTTGGTCACTATGTGGTGAGAGCTGTCTACTAGCCAAATTGGTAGACAGTAATTTACGTCAATATTTACGTTTCCAAGATTTGTCTTGAGAAAATGTGAACAAAGATTGATTCAAAACCGACCACAGCAGACTTTGCGTAGGCAGATGCAGTTAACATATAGAGGATTTGACATTCAAGAAACAGTCACAAATAGATGAAAGATTAACTTTACGTGAGAAACAATCAATCGGAAGACTGTGTTTGTTTACTTAAATATCCATAGTAATGTACATGCAAAAATATAAATATGCGTTGATTTCCTTAATGAATGATCTGTTGCCTGACTCTTGCCTTCTGTCGTTACAACTATACTAGGTGACTCACCATCACGGTGCACTCTAAATTGTTGTTAGATGATTAGAAGCAATCTGCAAGAAGTCCTGCCTAACCAGCTCTCGTGCTTGTTGGCACTCACCAGTCAGCAAGGCGTATCTGCACTTTTGAAGGGATTCATGTCCCTCCTGGAATTGGAACCCATGTTACCCAGTGCTTCAGTCAGAGTAGTTACCACTGAGCTGTTGGGGCTCGCGATTGACCTCCTGTAGAACTGTAATGTAATACTTTCACTGGACAGCTGACTGACAGAAGTCAGTCTACCCTTGCGTCCATTGGAATTATCTATTACAGTCCTACAGGAGGTCAGTCACAGGCCCCGATAGCTCACTGGTAACATCTCTCTGTCTGCATCACAGTTCATAAGGGATATGAACTGCTCCTTCAAGATTGAAGTTATGCCTCACTAACTGGTAAGCTGCAACAAGCACGAAACTTAGGTCAGGCAAAGTTGGGTTGCCTACTGACTGCCTCCAAACATCTAACAATCACTCAGTCAACAAAGAGGGAATACGAAATAAACAATTTAGACAAACAAACAAAATATCAGTGACATAATTTCACTGTGGAATAAAAAAAAAAGCAGACGAAAATAAGTTGACCTTAAAGTCCACTAGAAAACACAAATAAAAAACCAACCAGTTGGTTGAAACACACTACACAACAAACACATATATAAGCACGCACATATATATACCTCTTCCTTAACATATATTTATATACTATATATATATATATATAGGCAAATTAAGTTGGTTCATTAGTTTTCACTTTTACCTAAGATGAAAATATTTATATATAATAATGATAGTGATAGCACCAGAACAACACTACCACAAGAACAACAATCAATACTTTGTTGTTGTTATTTATTTTGCGCATATTTCCCCCTAAATAGGGGGATATATTACTGTTGATATTTGTTTATTTATTTGTTTATTTTATCAACCAAAACCTCTGCATGTGTATGCACATGCAAAATACATTGAACGCATATTTTTGCCATCTATTTCGCCATGTTTATATCTTGTGTGTGTAGGTGGTTGCAGCAACAACAGAATAAATAATAATAAGGGTAACATAACAGTAATATTAGTAGTAGTAGTAGTTAGACAGGCATGTAGGTAGATAGGTAGGTTGGTAGGTAGGCTGGCTGGCTGGCTAGGTAGACTCATATGAGGAAGTTTTAGAGTTTAGCAACCAGTAGAAGAAGATGGAGAAAGGGAAAAACAACTATGGGAGAATTTTCTACTTAGGAATGAGAAATTTGTGATTGAATGCTAATTGGCTAGTGAGTCTGTTGGACAGCTGTATCTAGCCTTCTAGTTATTTATCTATCTATCTATCTATCTATCCAGCTAGGTAGTCACTATTCTGCATAGAATGGGAATGCAACAATAAGTAGAACTCAAATGTGAGTGAGATAGACACATATAATAGTAGATGTGTATATATGTTTTAATATTATCAAGGTCATCAGTATATTTATATATATATATATATATATATACATATACATATATATGTACA